GGGATCCGGCACCGCGTCGCAGACCTACGCGGCAGCAGCGGGGGGGCCAGCACCAGCCGCGCCCGCAGCGCCGACAGTTCCAGGTGGACCACCTGCACCGCCACAGTGGCCTTCGCGCGCGGGCCGCAGCACCCGCGCATTCAGCTGCCGACGCGCAGCTGCCGAACTAGGCCTACACGCCGTCAGTGGCCTCGCTCGGCGTCAGCGCGCCATGCGGGGCAGTGCACTTGGCCGCCGCAACCGGCGCCGGCGCCCGCGCCGCCGCCAGCGTTGGGCACTGCCTCTGGATTGGCCCTGTTCCACACAGAGGCCAGTGCACGTGCGCCAACCTTGTGTGGGGGGGCCGCGCGGTTTGCCGGCCTCGGGACATGCATGGGTGTCCGGCGGCAATCGGCCCCAGCACCTCGCGCATTCCACGCACGATCACACCCGGCGACGACGCCTCGACAAGCTCCGCAGCACGCAGCTGGCACCGGAGCTACTGCGACAGGAGGCAGCCCAGCAGCGCCAAGCCGCGCGGAGTTGCGCAGAGACGCCATTTCATGCGGAACACCGACTGGGCTGGCGCTGGCCCGCCAGGTGCCAGCAGGGGGCCCGCAGGAGACACCGCCACAGCAGGACACCGCACCGTCTCCTCGGCCAGCTCCCGCACCTGGGACACCACGGCAAGATCTTCTGAGATCTCCAGGCAGTGCATCCAGTTTCGCGTCCGCGGTGGATGCGCCAGTGCCCTGCGGCGCGCTCCTGGACTTGCGCATTCCTCCGTTCAGGCTTACATTGCATGGGCCCAAGCTCCCGCGGCGGCCGACTTCGCCAAGCGCAGGCTCGAGCAGCCAAGACGCTTCGCCGTGCCCCTTGGCAAGCGCATCACTTTCAGGCGGCGGGTTAGGCGCCATCGTCTACACCGTCGCCTGGACCAACCTTTGGGGCGCGCGATTCGGCCAGGACTTGGCCTGGCAAGCCACGCAGGCGAAGCTCCAACCCTCGGGGGAGAGGCCGTCCGCTTCGCTATATGCGGCAGGAGCGGCCAACGGGCCACAAGTGGCGAACAGGGAAATCATTGCCTCATCGCCACAGCATCGCGCGATGGCGCATGCGCGCTCCAGCCGCGGAGGGCGCGGGAGATGCTCTCCAACGGGATGGCGGAGACAGGCGCGAACCACTTGCGCCTCGCCTGCCCCGGGCCGGGCGGCGACGAGATCGCCCGGTGCCCGGTCGCGATGCATTTCGGCTGTGAGTCCGTTCCGAGTGGGCACCTTTGCATCCCAATCGACGACTTCGGACAATTCCAGCCGCGCTCTGGGGGCTTGCCGCCCAAGCAGCCCACGCTGTTTGCGGCGGGCAATGATGGCCTGGATCACCGCGACGCCGACGGACGAGAGGCCAACGAGCTAGAGGTCCAACTTCCCAGCCCGAACGCGAGAGCCCCTACGCGCAGGAAACATCACCGATTCCGGTGGCTACGACCTGCGCGCAAGGTTCGACGCCTGCATCCCGACCTGCGGTCGGGAACTGGCACCCACCGGCATAGCAGCGGTAGAACCGCCTGCCGCGCGCGCGCATGGCTCCGCGCTCAGGTCTCGCGCTCAAGGGGCAGCGGCATATCCGGCGGAGCGGCGGGCCCTGACTTTCGCGGGAAGATCGCGGACATCGCGCGCAAACCACCCCGCGGACCCAAGAGTTCGAGCAGGGCCACCGCATCGCCTAGCTCATCCTGGAACGACGCATACAACGACGACGTTGAGATCGTGATCCTCGCGGCCGGCCTAAATTGCGACGGGGGCCAGGTGGGTTAGGACCCCCTGGCATGACTTCTTTCAGACACGACACCATCCCGAACGATGTGCCCACCTCAACTTCCGAAGGTCAGAAGGGCAACTCTGTTGCCGACTATCCTGAGGAGCCGACCAACGAAGGAATCGCTGGGCCGGTCCACAAGGCTGGCCCTGGCGACCTGCCCCGGCAGATGTGGCCAGCAGGCCCAGGACGTCTCGCTTGGGCCATGCGCCCCCCGCCCCCACCGTTGCGCGCAAAGAGCGAGGATTGTCAGATCATCCGCGTGGCAGTTCGACACGGTGTGTGAATACGAGAAGCTGCGGGCAGCGAGACGATTCCCCTATCGAGCACGGCTGCCAGACAGGACGGCCATGGCTTGCGCCTGTGCCCAGGTCATCTGCCACGTGTCAAACAGCTTCCTACGCGCGACCTCTACGTGTCTGGATCGAGCGCGCCCCGGGCATTTCGCGTTTTTGCCCGGGAGCGCCCCTGAGGCCATGGCAGCACTGGGGCGCGCGGAAGTCTCGGGCTACTACCGCGCCAGCTGCGCTTCTTCGCCGTGCCGACGTTGGCTGAGCCCGACCAAGGGCGCCGCCTCATCATGTTGCATGTGGGTCTTCAACGAGTTTGGACAAAACAAAAAAAAAGATACGCCGTCGCGATCTTGCCGAGCTCCATGGACGTCTGCACTGGCACTACTGGGGCGCACGCGCTTGGATATGCGCCCGCGATCGGTCGCGGCTGCGGGCATCGCGCAGCAAGGCTGCGGTCGGCGAGGACAGGTTCAGCATCCGGTCGCAGGGAATGCCATTGGAAGTGTTCCGCGACAGGCTGGTAGTCAATGGCGCGCCCGTAGCCTTCTTCAAGCTGGCGTTCAGCGCATGACAGGCCCTGCGTTTCATCCGCTCGGGTCTCCACCGCAGCAGCGTCGCGCTCCCTGCCAAGCGCAGCCTCCTAGCAGGCTGCGACTTCGCAGACGTGGCGGCGCGAGTTTTCATGACATCCGAGCATTCTCATATTCTCCTGGAGAGCCGAGGAGTCGATGTCATGCGCTACGTCGACGACGCGGGGGGGCGCGCCAGTCGCGGCGCCAGCGACGCGGGGGGCGAGCCCGCGAGCGAAGCTTGCCTTGCACGGCGAGCCCGCGATGCGAAATGCCGCGGGCCCAGCGCTGCACGGGTGCAATCGAACATGGCAAGTTGCCGTTTTCCCGACGGAGGCGCTGATTAGCTGTAGTGAGCTTGAATGAATGTTGGACTCTGGCCTTCCCCACAGGATCCCAGCCGAATCCACGCGAAGCCTCGCCCGAGACCCGTTGTCCGGGATCCCTTTGCGCTTCGCCCGCGCGATGCGGTCGCTTGCCTCCGCCGCCGCGTGGGCGGACCAGGGCGGAATAGCGACCCAGCCGTCCCAGCGCTCACCCGCGATGATTGGCGAAATGTTCAGCGCTGCGTTCCACGATGCCGATTGACAGGCCATGGGTGAGAGGTGGGGTTTCCCGGAAGGAGGCGGGGGCTAACCTGGGCGCATCCGGCCATGTCGGCCACATATACAAATCACCACCCGTATTTCGCGCGAGCAGTTGTGCGCGAGCGCTCGTGGACTGACGACCCAGCTCATGCTAACGGACACTGCGCGGCGCGAGCAGGTCGCGGCGAATGTGGAGTGCCAAACGCGGTGAGCCACAGGTTTTCATTTGCACGCTCCCAGCTGTAGTCCAGGCCAAGAGTGGCTCAGAGTCTTCTGACGCTTTCTTGGGGGGGGGGCGCGTGGAGATCCCACGCGTCTGCTCCACAGCAAGAGCGCCACGTCGGTCCTCCCAGGGGATGCCCCGCCGTTGCCTGGAGCCCGTTTTGGTTCAGTCAGGTACTCAATGGAGATGGTGAGGCGTTCCCTGATCAAGACCTCGAGGAGGCAATTAGATTTGCAAGACTCAGTGCGAGGTTGCACGTGGCAGAGGACGGCAGCAGTACCATGCCGACGTTGTCGTGTTTTCAGCGCGCTGCACATGCCGTTGTTCCGTTCGGCCCCCAGGACGAAGCCACCCTCTCAGTGGTGCGTGGCACAGTGCAACAAGGGTACCCTCAGGCACCTGCAATGACAGCGAATTGTCCCACTGCTGTTGCGTGCCAGCTTGCAGATAGAAGCAGCCACGTCCATGCCGACTGCAAGGCGGCGATCGATAAGGCCCTGCTTCCTGAACATGGAAAGTTGCGTGCCAGTAAGGTGTTTGTCGGCGTCTCTGATTTCGCTCGTGCGCTCGAGAGCCATCACCATGCTGACCCGATCCAGCACGTCAAGGCCCACTCTAGCGGGGACGTGGTGGATGAAGTACCGCCTGCGGAGCGTGACGCAGCGCACGGCAACCGAGATGCCGATGCGCCTTGCGAACAAACCTTTCCAGCCCAATGCTCCCGTTGGCCCAGGGGCAGCCCATCGGCGAAGTGCCAGAATCACAGATTCGTGAGGCACCGTTCGATCACGCAGGTTCCCAGGGTGGCATGAGTGCATTGGATGTCCGGGCATGGGCCCCAGCAGCCGCGGGGTTGGCCCTCGAGCCGCGCAGCAAAAGACGCTGCTCGGACGACTGTCCCCGCTGCCCACTCGAGTGTGCCCGTCGACCGCTTGTCGCTTTCGCTGAGCGAGCCAGAGCTGGGATCGCAAGGGTGGCAGAGGAGTGGTTTGGGAGCGGCGTGTCGTCGCGGGCCCTGGTCGGAGTGGTGGAAGCTGTATCTTCCAGGGTGACGACTGCCGATCGATCTCGGGGGTGCTGTCTCCCCCCCTTTCTCAGTTCGGTTTGCAAGTCTCTTCCCGTCGTGGCTGTGCGAACGTGACCTCCTCCTCTTCCTCCTCCGCCTCCTCCTCCTGCTCTTCCTCCTCCTGGGAAGACTAGCGCCGACAAATCAGCGATGGGGCCCAGGTAGCGACGCCCCATCCCCATCGTGGTTCTGCAGTGCACGCTCACGAGACCGGCGGCGCCGGCGGCGGAGCCCGGCCGTGGCGGCAGTGGAGGCCCCGAGAAGACGGAGGCTGTCAAACGTGATCCTTCATCTGTCCCTGCCAGCTCCTCTGCTCCACCCTGCTCCCTCGAGGTCAGCAGCTTAAGAGAAGGGGGGGGCCCGTTCTATTCCACGCTCGCGCGGTTCGCTCTCATGGTTCGGCAGGGCGCCGTCGTCGTAGTCGTCGCTGTCGCCGTCGCCGTGATCTTCGTCGTGGTTCCGCAGGGCATGCTCAAGGAGCTGGCGGCGCTGGTGGCGGAGCTGGTCCGCCTCTCCGAGGGCAGCGCCGACGACGCGGCGAGCAGTCCTTCGATCTCCGCGGAGGCCCCGTCGACAGCGCGGCGACTTTGGTCAGCACGGCCCAAGTCGGAGCGCACGTAATCTGCGTCGCGCTCGACCTTCGTAGGAGAATTCGAGGTTCGAGGCTTTCCGTCGCATCCGGCCTCCACAGGCCAGTTTCAGGTCCGGGCGCTGCGTAATTGGGGGGCGACAAATGCGGGGAGCTAAAGAGTGGTTTACCCTTTGGGCCCTATAGGAGGCCCCTGGGGCCGAAATGGGGCTGGAAAGGTGCACGTCTCTTCCCCCCATTCATCCCCCCCTCGTGAAACAACGTCCGATTCAGGCCCTGAGACCATGAAGGAGCTTCCCGGTATGACAAACAAAATGGCCAGGATGGGCCCCAGGAGGAGTCTGGGCTTCGGAGCGCAGGTAACAGGGGTGGGCGCTAGCGCGGAACAGCCGATCCCCTCTGATCCCTTCTATCTGACCTGGGTTTGGGGAGCCACGTGGAGCCGACGACGAGCGTGGAGGCGGGAAGCCAGGGTCGTTGGGACGAGGGAGTTTTGGGAGAAATTCTCTGGCGTGGCGCTTTCCCTCAGTGTCGCCTCGTCGGGAGCCTTCTGGGTGAACCCTGGAATCGTCCCGCACAGCCGTCCGCAGCTCCAGTTTGTTATGGACTTGTGGCCAACCAGAGGGAGCACGTTGGACCATCAGATCGGCATCGTGAAGAGATGCCGACCGGTGACGGATCAAATCGACTGGAACATATCTTCGGGAAACAGACAATGACGTAAACATGAAATAGCGGAGGTCCGCGCAGATTTCTCGGATCGGCGTTGGAACCTCTTGGCGGCGCCTCTGGCGCCGCCCATTGCGTGCTCCGCGCGCCAGGGAGGGGGGTCCAGCGCCGATCCGAGGAATCCGCGCGGACATCCGAGTTCGTATATGTTGATGTCAGTGTTTGTCCCCCTAGATCTGGTCGTGGTACTTCGCGATGCCTGCTTTTTTTGTTGGAACGACGTCGGCTCCCGTGGGAGGATGCAGCACTTCGCCGAGGCTGCCCTCGCGTTCCTTCCCTGCCCCTTCGGCCCCGTCTTCTGGCCTGCCGCCGCTACAGCTGTTAAGGACTGGACGCCAAAGGGCCTCGCACCCTTCCTTTGCATCGCTTCCTTCGAATGAAGAACAAAAGCGACGTACAAGTTACTCCGACGGTAGGACTCCAGATGATCATAATCTCCCAGACTAATCAGGAAGTAAACCTCATCGTCGTCTCTGTGAGTGCGGAGGCTCTTTCTCGTCTCCTTATCGCCCTTCTCGTTGTCGCATTGGCGGATTCCCTCGTCCCGCCCCTTGCTCTGCCTCCTCGTCGTCCTCCTGCCTCTTTTCCCCCATCCACTTCCTCCCTTTTCCGCCCCCTCAGCTAGGGCACGCAAGTCGGTGTGTCCAGGGGTGCCGCTGCCGCCACAGCCAGCACGGGTGCGTTCTCCGATGGCCAGATCGCGAAGCCGCGGGGGCAAGTGCGTGGACCAGGCCGTTGGGACAACCCAGCGAACCGCTGGGGCTCGGGAGCAAGCCGTTGGGACATCCCCACGGGTCTCGAGCTACTCGCGGCCGCGCTCCGGCGGGAGGCGGCGCGAAACCGAGCTCAGCCGCGAGCTGTTCCGCCGCAGCCTTGGGGCTCCCAGCTCTTTGTTCGACCTATTTGAGCGGCTGTGGCATGGAAGCCTGCGACCCGCGCTGTAGCAGTTTTCGCGTTGGCGGCTGCAGGATCACAGCGTTTCCCATGCGCTTCCTCGCCACTCATCACTCAAAGTCGAGGCTCCCGCTCGAGAAAGAACCCGCTATATTCAGGCTTCAATAGGAAACTCGAACACACACACACACACATTACCAGTGGCGGGCTGCTGTTTTTTCAATCCCAAGACTGAGGGTTGAGGACGACGTCGGGGTGGTGTGGTCTATACTTCTCCCCCGTTTTCCAATGGAAACAACGAAACATGTGTACACCAGGATCACGTATACACCAGGATCCGCGTTCGTGTGCGAATTTCAGCGCAGGGTCGGACAACACGTCGGTGTATAGAGTTCGTTGCCTTATTCAAGACGCCAGGTGTGGGGGCAGTTGCAGGGCTCCGATGACCCGCCCGGATTGGCGACGTGAGATGCGGGCTCCATCGGGGGACGCATCTCAATCACACGCGACGCTCGCACCACAGACTTTCGCAATAGCCGAACTTCAAAATGCCATAAAGGGGGGACACTGACAAGGTTCGGGTGGCCCGTGCGGATATGTCACATAAGCTGCGGGCCCCATGAAGAGGGCGCCCGCCTTCGATTTCTTTGCACATTACTCACACACGAGGCCCCCGTTTGAGATTTTCGTTACATTCAGGACCGGAGAACGCAAAAAAAAAAACGATTGTTATCAGTCTCCGGAAGCCCGTTCGAAATAATTTCTTGATCGGGGCGCCCCATTGGGAAAAGTGGTTCTCGCCGAAGATTTCATCGCAAATCATTCATCGACGAAGCTCGCGTTCGAGACGCCCGCCATCAGGAATGAGAAACCCAAGAGTTACGACAGCGTAAAGCTTCCGATGATCCGCCTGGATTGGTAATATAATTTGCGGGGCCCATAGAAAGGTGGGGAACCCGGTTGAGATCCCCTCGCAAGTCAGTCACAGTCCGCAAGATTCAGGCGTGAGGGGGCCAAACATGACGGCAATAACAAATATCCGATGACCCGTTCGGATGAGTATCTTGGTATGCGGGCCTCATAAAGATGTGGTTCCCGCCTGGGATTGCTTCGAAATTCTCTCACAGACGAGGCTCCCGCTTGGAATTCCCATGATGAGTGTTTGTGTGTGTGCGGTGATGATAACGGTGATGATGATGATGCTGATGAAGATGATAGAGGTGATGGTGATGATGGCGATGGCGTTGATGATGGTGATGATGATGGTGTGATAGTGATGATAAGAATGACGAATGATGTTGCTGGTGTGGTCGTGGTGAGTTGACGACGTGGTGGAGCAGTGGTGGTGGTGATGATGACGGCCGTACGCCATAATGGAGTGATGGTGATGATGCTGATGGTGCGATGATGATGACGATGCTGGCGATGGCGAGTGTGAAACATGGTGCGGATGAGAAAGGGGTGTGAGGTGAGGGGTGTGAAGAAAGCGCGGAGGGTGCTCAGACAAAACAGGAACCCCACTTGGATATGAGGCATCAGCGTTCGGACACCCCTGACGGCGCCTCTAGCGCCGCCGCTGGCGCGCGGTGGTCTGGCGCAGAGCCAAGAAATCCGCGCGGACCTCCGAAATATTTTTTTATGCAGTCAGTTGTTCCTCTACCTGCATCGTTTCCTCCCGTGCCCGGCAGGGGATTGGCGGGTGTTGAAAGCCGCCAGGCTGGCGCCTGCCCTCCAGGTTGGCGCGCTGCTGGGCCCTCCCTGAAGGCACCCCCGGGTCTTCTCGGGCGGCGCCTGGCCTCCTGGATGTTGCAAGCCTCGGGGGCTCACAAACGGTGTGGTGACCGCACCGTGTGGTGAGTCGGTGGGGAGTCGGGGTCACCGCACGGTTTTGGGACTTGCGTCGTTCTCCAGGCTGTCTCGTGCGACTGGGGCCTCCGAGGACCCAGGACTGTGCGGCGACGGACCCTGCGGTGAGGTTTTTTGCAGTTTGCGAGGTCACCGCCAGGTCTGTCACCACACGGTGCTGGGACCCCCAGAAGCAGGCGATCGCAAACATGGACCAAGGGGGCGTGGATTAGCGATGGGTTCCGTTTCTGTGGGAAATCGCGGATTTCCGCCGCCGAACGAGGCGGCATTGGCCGTATGTTGGGGAGGGCACCTTCCGCGATCCATGGATTTGGTGACCGCGCGCCAAATCCATGGATCGTTAATCCATGTTTGCGCGCCCCCGACAGAAGCCCCTGTCGTCACCTTCACTTGACCTTCGAGCCTCACCAGGCTGTTAGGTACTGGGGCGCCGTGCCTCCCCAGGAGAGGGTGTCGTGTCGGAGCGCCCTGGATCAGCCGAGCGAGAATTCAGATCTCCGCGCCATGCGCGAGCAGATACCATGACAGAAGTTATTATGCGTATTGTCCCATAGATGTTTCCTCAGCTGTTGGACGGCAGTTGTTGCGCTACCACGTAGTCTGCGTTCTTCGCAGTATCGTTGTTGCTACTCAGCAAACGAACCTAATAATCGATTACACAGAGATATGTTTGAGGCTACCTATTTGCTCCTCATCCTATTCATGCTCCTTGCATCTTCGTTGCTGAGACAAGAATGTCGCCCGTGGCCACCGGCACCAGCGAAGACAATAGTTGCTTGTGAATCCAAGAGCAGGAGACAAGCAGGGACAGCACACGACCTACACTCTGCGCATATAGTTGTTCGCTCATTTGCGAACCCGTTCGTTCAGATCAGAGCCAGGAGTAACGAACGCTTCGCGCATCCCGACGAGCCCATCAAGAACTCATCAAGAGTCTTAAGCCATTCCGCCGATCGCCGTGCTGCCTGCGTGCAGTTGTTGCGGACTCGTCCTCCGCTTCGTCCGCGTCTGTAGCGGGGTTTATTGGAGGTTTTACGAGGCCTCGGGGGCGGCCTTCCTGGGAGCTGTTCCAGGTCTCCTGGTGGTTTGCTGCTACCGTCTGGAAGCCTCTGAGGGTTCTCTTCTGAGCATGTCGGGGCAATCAGGGCCCATCTTGTAGAGGAGGCCACTTTTCCCGACCATCCTGCGGTGTCGGGCCCTCGCTTTGGGGAGAGCGCCCCGCGTCCCACCTCTCCTCTCCTGTTCCCTTTGCCTCTGCTCTCTCGCATGCCCATTTCGGCAAAACCCTCGCACGGCTCGTGGCCCCATAGGGCCCTCCACCGAAGGCCCCAGTGGCAGCGTCCGCGTGCGCCCAGCCCGCCCACCGCATGCCCGTTTCGGCACACCAATTTCACGGTTCGTGGCCCCACAGGGAGTTCCACCGAAGGCCCCAGTGGCAGTGTCCGCACGCGCCCAGCCCGCCCACCGCATGCCCATGCCGGCACACCAATTACACCGTTCGTGGTCCCCTAGGGAGCTCCACCGAAGGCCCCAGTGGCATCTTCCGCATGCGCCCAGCCCGCCCACCGCATGCCTATTTCGGCAGATGTTTCACACGGTTCGTGGCCCCATAGGGAGTCCACCGAAGGCCCCAGTGGCAGCGTCCGCATGCGCACAGCCCGCCCACCGCATGCCCATTTCGGCACACCAATTTCACGGTTCGTGGTCCCACAGGGATTTCCACCGAAGGTCCCAGTGGCAGTGTCGGCATGCGCCCAGCCCGCCAACCGTATGCCCATTTCGACACACCAATTTCACGATTCGTGGCCCCACAGGGGGTTCCACCGAAGGCCCCAGTGGCAGCGCCCGCACGCGCCCAGCCCGCCCACCGCATGCCCATTTCGGCACACACAGTTCGTGGTCCCATAGGGAGCGCCACCGAAGGCCCCAGTGGCAGCGTTCGCATGCGCCCAGCCCGCCCACCGGATGCCCATTGTGGCACACAAGTTTCTCGCTTTTCGTGGCCCCAAAGGGACCTCCACCGAAGGCCCCAGTGGCATCTTCCGCATGCGCCCAGCCCGCCTACCGTATGCCCTGCCCGGCACACCCTCCCACGGTTCATGGCCCCATAGGGAGCTCCACCGAAGGCCCCAGTGGCAGTGTCGGCATGCGCCCAGCCCGCCAGCCGCATGCCCACTTCGGCACACCAGTTTCACGGTTCGTGGTCCCACAGGGAGTTCCACCGAAGGCCCCAGTGGCAGTGTCCGCATGCGCCCAGCCCGCCCACCGCATGCCCGTTTCGGCATTCCGTTCACACGGTTCGTGTCCCCATAGGGATTTCCACCGAAGGCCCCAGTGGCATCTTCCGCATGCGCCCAGCCCACCCACCGCATGCCCGTTTCGGTATTTTTTTCACACGGTTCGTGTCCCCATAGGGAGTTCCACCGAAAGCCCCAGTGGAAGCGTCCGCGTGCGCCCAGCCCGCCCACCGCATGCTTGTTTCGGCACACCTTTCACACGGTTCGTGGTCCCACGGGGATTTCCACAGAGGGCCCCAGTGGCAGTGTCCGCATGCGCCCAGCCCGCCCACGGCATGCCCACTTCGACATACAAATTCACGGTTCATGGCCCCACAGGGAGTTCCACCGAAGGCCCCATTGGCAGCGTCCGCGTGCGCCCAGCTTGCTTACAGCATTTCCATTGCGGTACATAAATTTCACGGCTCGTGTCCCCATATGGAGTTCCACCGAAGGTCCCAGTGGCAGCGTCCGCATGCGCCCAGCCCACCCACCGCATGCCCGTTTCGGCACACCGTTCACACGGTTCGTGGCCCCATAGAGATTCCACCGAAGGCCCCAGACGCAAAGTCCTCATGCACCCAGCCCATTTCGGCACACCTTTTTCACGGTTCGTGGTTCCATTGGGAGTTCCACCGAAGGCCCCAGTGGCAGGGTTCGTGCGCAGTTTCCCGCCCCCCGCATGTCAATTTCGTCAAATCTTCACACGTCACGTGGCCCCGCAGGGAGCTCCACCGAAGGCCCCAGAGGCAAAGTCCAGATGCGGCTCTCCGTCCGCCGCGTGTCCATGTCGGGGTCCCCGCCCGCCGCGGGTTCATTTCGGCACGCTTCTTACACAGTCGGTGGCTCCATAGGGAGCTCCACCAAAGGCCTCAAAGGCAACGTCCACATGCCCCAGCCCGCCCACCGCATGTCCATTCCGACACATCCCTGCGCCGCAGGGAGCCAACCGAAGGCCTAAGTGGCAGGGTTCGCATGCTGCTCCCCGCCCTCCGCATGTCCATGTTGGCACACCCCTCACACGGTTCGTGGCCCCGTATAGAGCTCCCCCGAGAGTTCCCGTGGCAGGGTTCGCGCGCGGCCCCCCCCGTTTCCCCATTGTCCATGGCACACCTCCCACAAGTTTCGCGGCCCCAGAAGGAGCTCCACCGAAAGCCGCTGTGGCAGGGTCTGCATGCCGCCCTGGTCACCACATGTCCATTCTGGCCCCCCCCCCTTGCACGGTTCGTGGCCCAATAGGGACCTCCACCGAAGGTCCTTGTGGCAGGGTTCGTGCGCAGTTCCCCGTCCACCGCATGTCCATCTCGTCACCCCCCTTCACGCGGTTCGTGGCACCATATGGGGCCTTTTTTTTGTTGTCTCACCTGCCTCGCGGTATTCACATTTGCATCTGGTTCGCTTCTTCGCCGAGATAATGGTCGTCACCCATTGCGGCGGCGGCGGCCCGTGCCGGGAGTCCAAAGGCGTCGGAGGAGCCAGGTCAGGGGCAGCGAGAGGGAGGGGGGATAGGGGAACGACGGGAGGAGGAGGAGGAGGAGGAGGAGGAGGAGGAGGAGGAGGAGGAGGAGGAGGAGGAGGAGGAGGAGGAGTAGTGGTCGTCACCCATGGGGGTTTGGGGGGGTCGGGCAGGAGGATAAACGGTCATGGCGGCCACGGCGTGCACCCGCCAGGGTGCACGCCGCGGCACCGACACATTCATCGATTGTGCGCGCCACAGTCTGTAGGGGGGGGGAGGTCCAGGCCACCACCCCCCAGTACACTCTAGGCGATGCTTAAGAATACCCAGGTTTTCGGCCAGAGTCTCGATTATTCTTGATGTTTCTATGCAGATCCCAAGATTTGAATAGACATTCTGGATGTTTGTTCAAATTCAGAGACGATGAATTTCTTAACCCATGATTTCTAAAGCATTTCGCAGGGTGTAGGGGGGGGGTCCAGGCGTCCAGGCCACCACCCCCCGTACGATCGGTAGCGTTATTAGGGGGGCGGAGGGAAGGGGGGGGTTGGCCGGGTTGGCCCGGGCAACGAGCGTATTTCGGGGAGGAGAAGAACCTCCCCCAACAACAAAAAACGCTCCGCTCTCGGGGCCCATACGATTTTCTCTCTGAGGGAATCCGGGGCTAATAGCGCAATATTGGGCCTCTTGGACAGTTTTGGAGCCTCTGGGCCTTCATGGGACCTTTCGGGATGTCCTCAGCTGGTTCAGGAGGTCTCTCAGTCCCTTTTGGATTTTCAGATGGCCCGCAATGGATTTTCAGAAGCCAGCACAGGCGAGAAAGCGAAACTAATTCAACCGATTGTACATATATGATGTGTGCCTCTTGAGGTCATCTTGGATGTTTCTTGAGGCCTCCCCGACGTGATTGAGCCTTTCCTGAGCCATCTTAGAGAGCATTTGTGGCATCTTTGGGGCCACGGAGGGTGGATTTGGCGTTCAGCGGGTCCTCAGAGGTGCGCTGACGAGCTCGTGCCCCCCTTCCACCGTCGCCTCGCCCCCCACCCCCCTGCTCTGGGATGTAGGGCCTGAGAGGAGGGGGGAGGGGCGAGGGGGGACAGCCAATGGTCGACGGGTGTGCCCATGTACTTCCATCCTCCTGACAAGTCCCCCTGGACGCTCTGTGGGCCTGGGGATTGTTTGGAGCCTTTGCGGGGGCGCTCTTGGGACGTCTTTGGGCTGTCCTCGGAAGTCTTGGGCCCCTCTTGGGCAGCCCTGGGCCCTTCGTGGGGCTCTTTTGGGCGCCTTCAGAGCTACTTGTGGGCGGTACGGGGGGCCTCGTGGGCCCTCTCTTCGACGACCGGAGAGGCGAGCATGTCAAGACGAACTCCTCCTCATCCTCCTCCTCCTCCTCCTCCTCCTCCTCCGCCTCCTCCTCCTCCTCCTCCTCTCTGGGGCTTCTTGAGGTTCCTCTTAGGCCCGTCCTTGATCCGTCTTGGTCCTCCTGGGAGGCTCTCTGGGGCCTCTGCGACCCTTCTGAACTCGTCCGGCGGGCAGGCACCAGGAGGAACCCAGGCAGGCCCGTTTAAATACCCGGGGAAGCCGAGCAAGGGCCCCTTTTCCTCATTTGTGAGCACTGCTCGGGACAAAAAAATGCCACACACCTCCCTCGTTGATCCTTCCCTCCCCGCATCGCCTCTCCCGATCTTCGGGGGTGGACAGAGCCCCCACCCTGACACGTCGATCAGTGAATTGTCCGTCTTCGGCTCTCGAGGGGGCGCCGCGGCCGTCACTTTCCAGGCTTGCGCCCGCCAGGTTTGGGCCCGAGGTCGTCTTCACGAAACCACGTTTCACGACAGGGGGCTCTGTCCATCCCCGAGATCTGCCTTCCGCCGCCCCGTGGACCGTTCCGCCCGCCGCCGGGGCGCCCAGCCGCCCGCGTCGGGCGCCCCGTGCCGCCAGGGCTCGGGCCCGGACCTGGCGGCCTGGTGGAGGCGCGGCCGGGGAGGGGTCCCCCCAGCGTCCCCACCCGTCGAGGAGAGGGATGCGGAGGGAGGAGGGCAGGCGGAGGGAGGAGGGATTCGACCGCACGTGAGGGTGACCTTTGGGTGCGGGCCCATCGGGATCCCCAACTCGCCTTGCGCGCTTGGGCCTGGCCCCCCAGCATCCCCACCCGTCGAGGAGAGGGATGCAGAGAGAGGAGGATCCGGTACGTTTGCGTCGTGTCGACCGGCGGCGACCACGCCGCTGGCGTTCGACATTGAACGCCGCCGCCGACCCGGAATCGGTCGATGTTGAACGATCGAATCGAACGTTGCAGAAGCGGCCGATCGTTCAGGTTGAGCGATCCCCGCGATGTCAGGAACCAACGCCTGAGTCGTCACGACACGAACCTGCCGTAGGTGGAGAGAGGAGGAAGGAAGGGGCAGAGAGACGGTGCGCGCAACGGTGGTAGAGGGAGTTGCCGTGCTCAGCACATGGGAACTCTCATCCCATGTTACAGGACAGAAAGGAACCTTGGCCTCCTAGATGGGGTCCGAGTAGATGGGGTCGGATGATCGCGCCACATCGCCGATGCATCTCTGATGCGGCTCGATGTGGAGCCCGATTTGCTTCACGTCGACGTCGCCGATGCATCGCCGACGTCGCCTGTGCATCGCTGGTGCATCGCCGATGCATAGCCGATGTGTCGACGATGCGGCGCGATCGACCGACCCCATCTACCCCGACCCCATCTAGGAGGCCTCTCAGGAAGCTGCAGTGCACCCGTATAGTAAGGATGGGCAACCTTCCCAAGGGTACCCCTTTTGCATCTGTACACACTCAGCCCATCCTTGGCCACTTGCGCTTGACGCGCTCCGCTCCCAAAGTGCTTCGACGTCGCCTCCCAAGGCCCCTGCATCCTTACCGTGCGTCCTTGCTATGCGGGTTGGCTGTGCAGTGCAGGAAGGAGGGAGGAGGGAGGGCGGCTCCGCCCCCTCCGCCCTCCTTCCCATGTGTTTCTTCTTGTGGCTCCTTCTCGTCTGCATCCCCCCTGAAGATCTCATCTCTCCTCTCGCCTCTCCCCCTCCGCCCCCCTCCTCTTGCCTCCCTCCTCCCACCCTTGGTCCTCCCGCCCTTTCCGCCCTCTTCCCCTGGTCTCCTTCCCGTGGCTCCCTGAAGATGCAGTCGATGCGCATAGCGAGCACGAGAGCCTAGGAGTCTTCTGAGAGAGGCGAGAGGGCAGAGGAGGAGGAGAATGAGGAGGAGGAGGAGGAGGAGGAGGAGGCTGGAGGAGGAGGAGGAGGAGGAGGAGGAGGAGGAGGAGGAGGAGGAGGAGGAGGAGGCTCCTTCGCCCTTCGGCCCATCCTCGACCGCTCCCGCTCGCCGCGCCCCGCTCGCAGAATGTCGGCACGGCCTTCCAAGGCCCCGTGCGTCCTCATCGCGCACCCTTGCCATACGGGTTGACTGCATCGTCTGTCCTCTCGCCTCTCGGCGCCTGGCGCGCGTGGTGCAGGGCACCCGCCCTGCTCTCTCTCCCTCTCTCTTTCTCTCTCTCTCTCTCTTTCTCTCTTTTCTCTCTCTCTCTCTCTCTCTCTCCTGAGGGGCTGGCTCCTCGGCCCACCCCTCGGTGAGTTTCGCTTTCGGCCGCAGCTAGTGATTCCACTGCCGCTGCGCCGCTTGTGCTCTGGTGCTACACCCTTCGCCTTCCCTCCCTCCTACCGCAGCTGGTCCTCTCACACCAGTCCTCTGCCTAACTTCATCATCCCTCATCCTGCTTCCCTCATCACCCTCGTATGTATCTGGCCTCTCCTCGTCATCAGCCTTCGTCTCTGGATCCCCATCCTCCGCCATCTCTCCATTCTCTCATGGCGGGCTCTCCGTCATCCTTGGTGGGCTTGGTCGGCAGTTTTCGGTGGTACTGCTTTCTGTCTTCGTCCTCCTATCCCCTCTGGGCTCTCCCATGCTCACCGCCAATTCTGCAATCCTGTCTTTATCGAATGTGACTGACCCGTTGGACGTAGCAAACCCTTGAACCGTGGAACCATCCATTCCATCAGTCTTTTCCCCTGCGTCATCCTGGTTACTTCCGCCCCCCCTTCCCCGCTTTCTACCTGTCTTTCCCTATGCGCTCCGTCTTCCTCCCTCCCTCCTCCTTTCCTGCCCCTCCTGCTCCGCATCTTCATCCTAGTCCATACTCCTCGTTATTATTCTTCCCTCCTAGTTTTGGGCAGTTTCTCCCTCCCCTCCTTCAGGGACGTGGCCATGCAGCTGAGCCCGCTGCTGGAGATGCTTGAGCGCGTCGTGCCTGGCGTGGAGGCGGGCCAGCTCTCACGGCTTACGGCAGGCATGTTTTTGAACCGTCTTGCTCATCTTCCGTTTCTTCCCCCTCAGATTCGGGTTCATGGGTCATTTGCAAAGGGGGTCTCAAGAATGTGCGCCATGTTTCGTGTAGTCGTTCGTGCTGTATCGTCCTGCATGGGGGCAGATTGCGTTTGATATGGCACTTTTAGTTGGTAAGAGAGGCTACGCCTCATGTTCCACAGCATGAACCATTGCATGTTTTGTTTGCGGCCCCGTTAGGAAAGACCCCCTTGGCCCAGAGCCAACCCCTGTTCCTTCGTGTCCTTCTTCTCTTCCTCCTCTCCTCCGTGGTCGCCCTCCTCCGCCCCCCGTCGTACTCGCTCTCTTCTCCTACCATGTTCCCCCCTCGCTCCGGCTGCTGGCCCCTGGTCCCCCCCCTAGGTGAAGGGGCCCTGGGACACACAAATAAATACACACAAATAAAAAGATTCCCCATATTTTCCCATATTTTCTGGGTTTTTGTCTTCCCCACCACTTCCCATATTTTCGCATATTTTCCTGGGAATCGACGATTAATTGTGTCTGTGTGTTTTTTCCTCTCCTGACTAGGGGCTGCGGCCGTCGCTGGGGCAGCCCCCCCTTTCCTCCAGGTCGCTCCCTGGGAGGGGGAGAGGCGACACTGGCCTTGGGGCTCGGCGCGCGAGCCGACGGAGTGCTCGGTGCTCGAGGTTCGAGGACTGCGCGCTTCTGGAAGCTGCCGGCCCCCGGTCGAGCCTCCAGAGGCCCCGGGGGCACGGGCTTCCTCGTGCTGCTGCTCCGGCTCCTCCCGGGGTCCTCGATCCTCCAGGTCTCTGGGGATCTCTTGGGAGCTCTACCTCCTGCTCCTCCTCGTCCGGGGCCAACGTTCGGCGGCCAGTGAGGGGGGGAAGCGAGACGGAGAAGGCCTTCTCAAAAGGCGGCCGGACTTCTCAGAAGTCCTCAGAAGTGTTTTGTGTTTTCGGGGAAGGTTGAGCAAACGTTTCAAAAGGCCGGGGGACTTCCGACCAATTATTCTTCTGGCGCGCTTCTCGTCCTGCACTACGTTGCTGGCCAGCCCTCTCCATGCGCCCACGGTCTTCGATTGTAGTGGCCTCCAGCCAGTGCCGCCGATCCGGGGCGCTCCAGATGCTGGTGGACATGGACGACGACGACGACGACGACGACGACGACGACGACGACGACGACGGCAACGGCAACGGCGACGGCGACGGCGACGGCAACGGCGACGGCGACGGCGGCGACGACGACGACGATGACGACGACGACGGACAACCAACGACCCCCCCACCCCTGCAGAGCGGAGGGGTGAGGGGGGGCGGAAGCGCTGACCCCCCCCTTGCAGAGCGGAGGCGGGGGCGAAAGCGCTGACACCTCCCCCTGGCAGAGCGGAGGGGAGGGTCGAAAGCGCTGACATGACACACCCTCCCTGCAGAGCGGAGGCGGGAGCAAAAGCGCTGGCACCCCCCCCCCCGCCCTAGCAGAGCGGAGGGGAGGGGCGAAAGCGCTGACCCCCCCCCCGTGCAGAGCGGAGGCGGGGGCGAAAGCGCTCCCCCCCCCCCCATGCAAAGCGGAGGCGGGGCAGGCGAAAGCGGTGACCCCCTCCCCCTCCCCCCTGCAGACCGCAGCAGAGCAGAGGGGAGGGCGAAAGCGCTGACCCTCCCCCCCCCTGCAGAGCGGAGGCGGGGGCGAAAGCGGTGACCCCCCCCCCCCTGCAGAGCGGAGGCGGGAAGGGCGAAAGCGTTGACCCCCCCCCCCTGCAGAGCGGAGGCGGGGGCGAAAGCGGCGACCCCCCCCCCTGCAGACCCTAGCAGAGAAGAAGGGAGGGCGAACGCGCTGACCCCCCTCCCCCTTGCAAAGCGGAGGCGGGGGCGAAAGCGGTGACCCCCCCCCCGCCTGCAGAGCGGATGCGGGAAGGGCGAAAGCGCTGACCCCCCCCCTGCAGAGCGGAGGCGGGGGGGGCGAAAACGCTGACATCCACCATCACCCCCCTTGCAGAGCGGAGCTCAAGCGAAGCTCAAGCTCACGCACTTTTAAACTCACACGCCGGATCGGCCGATTTTCGCGTCAGCGCTCGTCAGTTCATCAAATTTCTAGACGTTTCGCGTAACCCCACCAGTTATCTGTCGCTGTGCCCCAGCCTAGGTCACACCGCCCTCTGGACTTCTCCTTGCGGGCCGCGAATCAAAAAGTAACCCCACCAGTCCATCCAGAAACGATGCCCAGACGAGTTGCCATGATCAGGGATGTGGAGTAGAATGCAGTTGAATGAAGGGTTGCGTAAGACGTCGTACCCCAAGGGGAGGAGGACGGAGGAGGAATCGCATGAAGAGGAGAATGAGGAGGGAGAGGAGGAGGAGGAGGAGGAAACGGAGGAGGAAGAAGGAGGAGGAGGAGATCGTGGAGAAACAGCGAGGAGGAGGAAGAGGAGGTGGGGGAGGGGGAGGAGGCAGGAGGGAGGATGCGGTTCAGCGGATGTTGCTGCTGATGATGATGATGATGATGATGATGATGGTGATGATGATGATGATGGTGGTGGTGGTGGTGGTGATGATGCTGATGCTGATTATGATGCTGATGATGATGGTGGTGGTGATGATGATGCTGCTGATGATGATGATGAAGATGATGATGATGCTGATGATGATGATGATGGTGGTGGTGGTGGTGATGATGGTGGTGATGATGATGATGAGGATGAGGATGAGGATGAGGATGAGGATGAGGATGAGGATGAGGATGAGGATGAGGATGATGATAATGATGATGATGATGATGATGATGATGATGATCATGGTGGTGATGATGATGATGCTGATGATGATGATGATGATGATGATGATGATGATGAGGATGATGATGATGATGATGATGATGATGATGATGATGATGATGATGATGATGATGATGATGATGATGATGATGAGGTGGAGGAGGAGGAGGAAGAGGACGAGAAGGAGGAGGGCCAAGGGGGGGAGGAGGAGGAGGAGGAGGAGGAGGAGGAGGAGGAGGAGGAGGAGGAGGAGGAGGCGGAGGAGGAGGAGGAGGAGGAAGAAAAGGGCGAACAGAAGAGTCAGAAGCCTCTTGAATGCCTCTCGGAGTCTCCTTGGATATGTTTTGGAAGTTTCTTGGAGGCCTCTTGGGCATCTGGGAGGGGCATCTTGGCGAGCCAAAGGCCATCTTTGAGCGTCTCGGGTGCCTCGGGAATCCTCTGGAAGCGTCTTGGGGGTCTCTCGGCAGCCTCTTGGATGCCCCTTGGGCGCCTCTTGGGGCCGTCTCGGCGCTTCTGGTTGGCCCTCTTGGAGCGTTCTTGGGAGCCTTGGGGGCGCTCTTGGCCGGACGTCCCCAACATCGCCTCTTCGAGCGCTCTTGGGCGCTCGTTGGGCCGTCTTGGGGCTATCCTCTCTTTGGGCCTTCTTGGGTTCTCGTGGAGCCATGTTGGGGCCACGGACGGCCATCGAAAGCGACAAGGCGCGAAGGCACAACTCATTGATGTTCTTAAGGTTTTGGATGTTGGCCTCTCGGACGCCTCCGTGGAAGGCTCCGTGCATTTGGAGCCGTCTTGGAACTTGGAGCCGTCTTGGAACGGTCTTGGGGCCTCGTGGAGCATCTTAAAAACCTTATTGGGGCAGCTTGGGCTATCTTGAGCCATCTTGGAGGTCATCTTGGGCTCTCTGAGGCGCTCTTGGAGCCATCTTGGGCCCAAAAGGACTTCTGACACCTCGCGCCCCCCCCCCCCCCCTACAGGTCCAGGGGAGGGGGGATGGGGGAGGGGGATGGGTCAACACACTCTCCTAGATAGCAAGCCGTCTAGCTCACTCTCGCCCGCCCTCCCAACACATCAGTAACACCCGAGTCTCAGCAAGTCAGCGATCGTCTGTGGATGGGCAGCTACTGGGAACCAAAACCGACCCCATGTGCGCGACGCTGTGTCCCGAGCGTGCCGTCTGGTCACATGCGCCACGTGCTCCACGTGCGCCAGGTGCTCCACGTTCGGGGCACGTGCAGAGTGTGCGACTGCGCCAGCACACATCAGGAAGCATGTCGGCCCCCACCATACTTGTCGAACGCCAATGCCCGTCATTGTGTCTGGTGGGCCTGCGCACAGCAGGCCATACGCCACCACCCTCGCCGTCCCTGTCAAAAAAACCACTTCACAGTGATCGCGGGGTGGCTGCGCATGATCCAGATTTATCCGCGAAGTGCATGTCGTATTGTTTCTTGATGGGGATGTTGGCCCTGCGCACAGCAGACAATAGTTTACAAAAAGATGCAAAGTGCTCGCGTGCCTCACAAACAGAATTCAAGATTTTGCCCGAAGGTGTACTTTATATTGGTTTGACAGTGATGGTGGGGTGGGCGCATCGGGTTGGTTGCGCATGCTCCGAAAGTGGAGGCAGAGTGCGTTTTGTATTGTTTTTGTTGACAGGGATGGTGGGGGGGGATCATGGTGTCCTCGTTATTCCTGGTTGGCTGCTGTTCGCCTGGGGGAGAGGGTGTATATCAATACGGAACAGGGATCAGCCCCTCCCTGAAGGGGAAGACAGGTGGTGTGAAGAGAAAGCTCTCTAGACCACCTATGCCTAGAGGGCTGGTGGGATTTAAGTCAGGCAGGTGCAGGCCAAGCCAGGGGTCAAGCTCTTGAGCGAAGGCCCATGACCCCGTGGCTCAAGGATTTGGCTCCTCTGCCTTGAGTGGACGACTCTTACGTCGCAAGGTTGTACTCACACGAGACCATGGGTGTACAATATCTTCCTTGCCGATGTTCAGGTCGCAACTCACCCCTTCCTCCTGCATCAAAATCCAGGGTCCCTTGGGTGAGGTATTCGCCCCAAGTCGTCTCGGATGGGGGGAGGGTTTGACGACCAGAGACGCGTGGATGTCAAGGCAGGTGCCATGACATCTCTCACATTTCGTGGTCACTCCTTCGTTCGGTACGTCCCCTGGCCCCTGGTCGTCCGCGCACATGCCTCTGGCCATTGCGCTAGTGCCCCCATTCTCAGGGGTTCAAAGATGGGGTCCTGAGGAATGGGGTCCTAAGTCGGAGGTTGGGGGGTGAGATCGCAGTGGAACGGAGCCCCCCAACCGGGATATCGTTTCGTTTCGCTCGTATCGTGCTTGCGGGCGAGGCGAAGTTGCGTGGGTGCGCGAGAGGACTGAACCCGCCGCTGCTAGGGAGAAGTCAAGACAAATGATTATCCCCCGTCCGTCCGTCCGTCCGGCGGTGGCCCTAGCGGTGTCCCCCAGTGTCCCGTGGTGTCCGCCGTTGCTAGGGCGAAGTCAAGACAAATGATTCTCCCCCGTCCGTCCGTCCGTCCGTCCGTCCGTCCAGCGGTGTCTCGCGGCGTCCCGTGGCGTCCAAAAAATGGAAATCGATAGTGACATCGATAGTGAGATCGACAGGTGTCCCGAGGTTTCCCGTGGTGTCCCGTTGAGTGAGATCGATAGTGAGATCGATAGTGAGATTGATATTGAGGTCGATGTGGTGTCCCGAGGTGTCCCGTGGTGTCCCATGGTATCCCGTTGAGTAACATCGATAGTGAGATCGTTGTTGTGTCCCATGGTATCCCGTTGAGTAAGATCGATAGTGAGATCGATGTGGTGTCCCGAAGTGTCCCGTGGTGTCCTATGGTGTCCCGTTGAGTGAGATCGATGGTGAGATCGATAGTGAGACCGATAGTGAGATCGAGAGGTGTCCCGCGGTGTCCCGTTGAGTCAGATCGATAGTGAGACCGATAGTGAGATCGATACTGAGATCGATGCCCGCGGTGTCCCGTGGTGTCCCATGGTGTCCCGTTGAGTGAGATCGATAGTGAGATCGATGTGGTGTCCCGTGGTGTCCCATGGTGTCCCGTTGAGTAACATCGATAGTGAGATCGCTGTGGTGTCCCGTGGTATCCCGTTGAGTAAGATCGATAGTGAGATCGATAGTGAGATCGATGTGGTGTCCCGAAGTGTCCCGTGGTGTCCTATGGTGTCCCGTTGAGTGAGATCGATGGTGAGATCGATAGTGAGACCGATAGTGAGATCGAGAGGTGTCCCGCGGTGTCCCGTTGAGTCAGATCGATAGTGAGACCGATAGTGAGATCGATACTGAGATCGATGTGGTGCCCCGCGGTGTCCCGTGGTGTCCCATGGTGTCCCGTTGAGTGAGATCGATAGTGAGATCGATGTGGTGTCCCGTGGTGTCCCATGGTGTCCCGTTGAGTAAGATCGATAGTAAGATCGATAATGAGATCGAAAATGAGATCGGCGTGTCCCGTGGTGTCCCGTTAAATGAGATCGATAGTGAGATCGACTGGTGTCCCGTGGCGTCCCGTGATGTCCCGTTGAGTGAGATCGATATTGAGATCGATACTGAGATCGATGTGGTGTCCCTAGGTGTCCCGTGGTGTCCAGTGGTGTCCCGTTGAGTGAGATCGATAGTGAGACCGATAGTGAGATCGAGAGGTGCCCCGCGGTGTTCCGTGGTGTCCAGTGGTGTACCGTTGAGTCAGATCGATAGTGATATCGATATTGAGATCGATATTGAGATCGATGTGGTGCCCCGAGGTGTCCCGTGGTGTCCCAAAAAGTGAGATCGATAGTGAGATCGGCAGGTGCCCCGTGGTGTCCCATGGTGTCCCGATGAGTGAGATCGATAGTAAGATCGATAGTGAGATCGATGTGGTGTCCCGTGGTGTCCCGTGGTGTCCTCTGGTGTCCCGTTGAGTGAGATCGATAGTGAGATCGAGTGAGATCGATTGAGTCAGATGTTGGTTTCCCCCCCCCTCTCCCCTTCCCACAACCTCCTGATCATCCGAAGGGTGGTCGTATAGGGATAAGAAGGTATCCAAGTGTGAAATTACGTTGTTTGAGGAACCTCGTCCTCAATACCCCATCCCTTAGGTGCACCCCAGCGACAGGACTCCTGGGCCGGCTACACGTAGGAGTGGCCCTTCGCCGCCTTGGCCTCTCGTGTGCGGTTTGTCTTTCGAGGGGTGGGGTCAAATCCGATCACGCAGGCCGCCACTGCCGCATCGCAAGCAACGATCGGCAAGCCGTGCACCAGAGTCATCAGAGGTCACTCTTCTTGCCTAGGGTCACGCCTGCGCGTTGCCGAATCGACTTGGGCACGCAAAGAATGGGGATGAAGACCAGCAGGAGTTTCATTGAACTGCCACTGTGAAAAGGACCTGCCGTCGGCGCCGTGTCAACAGCGTCGCATGCCACACAGCGGCCTCTGTCGGTTTGGGACCAACTGTTTCGCAACGTCCCCATCCCAGACGTGCCAAAAACAGTGGCGGCCTTCGCCTGTGGAATGTCGGCGGAAGCCGGCGTCCGCCCTTCTATTTCAGCTGTTCGGCTCAGGCGACTCTGGCTCGAGCCGCCTCTTCGGCACCAGGGCGCCCGACTCCTACCGCGCCGCGACCCCCCCCCATCCGCTCGCGGTCGACCGCCATGCCCGGCTCCCAGGTCGTTGCCGCCCTGCTGCTGCTCCTTGGCCACCCGCCGGCCGCCCGGGCGCAGGAGCTGCAGCGGGCCCTGCTCGCGGACGACGACTGCGCTGCCGGGGACGGGGTCTGCAGCGTGAAGCTGCTGCAGCAGCGCGCGGGCAAGCCGGACGCCAGCATCTTTTAACCGGCCCCTATCTCCATACTCGGGGCTGGACAGAACCCCCAACAGTGACACGTCGATTAGTGAATTGTCCGTTTTCGGTTCTCGAGAGGGCGCCGTGGCCGTCATTTTCCAGGCTTGCGCCCGCCAGGCTTGGGCCTCAGGTCGTTTTCACTAAACCACGTTTTGCTAAAGGGGGGTCTGTCCATCCCCGACATACCCACCCCCATGCAGACCCCCACCGCCTCTGCACCCCAGTTGGGGACATACCCGTCGAGACCCGAAGGAAACGGCCTATATCCCCATCCAGGAGGTGAATCGGCCAGTGCGGCCCAGGCCACGCCCATGGAGATAGCGGTCGGCTAAACGATGCTCAGGATGCCGGAGCGGGAGCGACGACCACGACCACGCCCGCCGCTGCCACGCCGGGCGCGAAGCTGCTGCAGCGGCGCACCGGCGGCCCTGATGCGGGAGCGGGGGCGTCGACCGCGCCCAGCGCTGCCGCGCCACCGCAGAGCGGCACGGGCGCTGTCCACGCGAGCGTCTTCGACCCTGCCGCGGAGGCTGCGGCGCGCGCGGCAGCGGAGGCGCTCCTGCAGAGGCAGTCCGGCGCGGAGGTGGCGTCTGGCGAGGGCACGGGCGTGTCGACGGACGCGGCAGTCGCGCGCAAGACCTGCGGGTCCACAGGCAGCAGGTGCTGACGTTGCATGAGAATCGCCTCCCGGAGCTCTCTCATCTCTTGTCTCCCGAGGTGATCGTGTTTCAGTTTCTCTGCGAAATTCGGGGTCCGCCCGGCGCGAGGGGGCCAGGTGGTGCAAAGCCAACAATAGGTGCGCGTCGCCGCCGCACGTCCTCCGCTTGTGTCGCTTCTGCGAGCGCGAGGGTCTGCAGTTTTGCCCCCCCCGCCCCCCCCCTCCCCTTCCCTCCCGAGCCGCATCTAACTCGTCCGTGGCCTGGGGCGGCGCTCGCACGAGCTTCGGCAGGACGTCTTGCCGCTCATCGTCTCAACAAATAATTGCACCCTCTGCGCGCCCTCCTCACTCCGAGTTTCCACCGCTCCTCCGCGTACGCGCTTACGCGGGCGCGCTATTTGGTACCGTGCAGATATTGAAGCAGGAACGCGGCAGGAACGTGCATCAGTCGTTCCGAAGACCCGGGCACGGATATTGGAAGTGTGGGTCGGCGAGGTGCCGCGGTCCGCCTCGCGGGCGTGGTCCCTCTTGCCCCGGAGCCATGGATTCTTGCGCCTTTGCCATCTTTCTGCGTCACCTCGCCCTGCGCCTCCTCGTCCACTCTGTCTCCCTCATTTTCCACGGCGCTCCTCGTCTTCTCTGGCCTCTCCTCCTCTCCATTCCCCTCCTCTCCGGTGTCCTGCCCTCGCCTTTTCTCCGCCTCCCCCTTTCCCCCCGCCCTCACTGCTCGTCGTTTCCTCCTCTTCCTCTACGCTCCTCCTCGCTTTGCCCTCCTGCTAAAAAGCACCTTCGTCTTCGATGTCCCAGTCTTCTTCCATTCACATTCAATCGCATCGTTCCTACAGTCAACCATGAAAATGAGGATGGGGTAACTTTCCAAGGCTACCCTTGCACCCGTGCCCCTTCGGTATTCGGCATCCTTCGGCATTACGCTGCGCTCCGCACGGAAAACGTCAACATGGCGTTCCAAGACCTTTGCATCTTTACCGCGCATCCTTACCATCCTGGTCGACTGTACTCCTCGTCGTTCTCACCCTTCGCCGCCTGTTTCTCCTTCCCCTGTCGAGGCAGAGGTGGAGAAGCGCGACACCACGACCCCCGACGAGGTGAAGGCATGCCCTCTGCGGCGTTGCCACGTTGCTGCCGGACTGCAGGTGAGCACGTGGTCTCTCGACGCACGCCATTCGAGAGCGTCGACCATCGAGTCTTCGCTGCACGCAGTTGTCATCGCCGGTCTATGAAGGGCAAGGTTTGCCGAGTATTTCTCAGTGGTTGTTCGTTGTCAGCTCGTTATGTCCCTCTAGTCTCTAGTCCCTGCTGCGTGTTGGTTGGAGGGGGCGTTTTCCAAACAGTCTTGCGCGCTTGTGTCCGAAGTGTTGTCATCTGGTGAGTTTACGCAATGGCCTCCAATGTTGCGGTGGTCACTGTGAAGGTGTCTTGCTCACCCTGTGCATTGCCATGCAAGTCTTTCACGAGCATTGCAAGTACTCTCACCATTGGTTCGCTGACGTAATACGTCGTGGTTCTCCCGTTCCTACTTTCCCGTCAATCGAGGCCGTTACTTACATGTATATTGTCAGATCCTTTGTGTGGTGTGCGGGGTGACGACAGAAGGAGGAGGAGGAGGCACATGAGGATACTGAGAAACACAGGCCGTTGGGGAGAAGAGGAAGATCAGGACGAAGGACGATCTGTTGCGAATGCGGACGAGGAGAAAGAGTAGCAGTAGAAACGCATGATGATGACGAGGGCGGCGAAGAGGACGGTCAGGTCTGTAGGTGTGTACACATACGGGTGATGCAGCTTTGGCCGGGAGAGGGGATGTAAGAGGGGATTGGAGGAGGGAGTCATAGGAGGAGGAAGCCGAGGCGGGGGAGGATAATGAGCTGAGGGAGGAGGGCAGGAGAGCCAACGTGCGGCAGTGCCGTCGGTTTGTTGACGGGAGCACGTGTTAACTCGGGGCCACCGCTCAATTCATCGAGGCTCTGAACGTAGCAGGCATCAGATGCTCAACCCAGGGCGGTGCGAGCGCGAAGCATTCAGCAGAACGGCCAACACCCACACGAGTCATGTACGGACGCCGTCTGTAGAGGTTCACCCTTCTGGGGATGTCCAGTCTCGGATAGCAAAGGCAATGCAATGTTGCGTATGCCGATCCAGAGAAAGAGCATGCGGACATTCGCAGGCCTCCTTGAGGATGAGGACGAGGAGGAGGAGGAGGAGGAGGAGGAGGAGGAGGAGGAGTGGCAGGGATGAGGAGAGAGGGAGATTGTTGAATACTTGACGCGGTATTGTGACAGCGTGCCTCTGAGTGGCCTTCAGGGTTGCCCAGTGGGACAGCATTGGAAGCGAAGCTCCTGGGAACCTCTTCTAGAAGAGCAGCAGGGAAGACAGCCTGGCGTGGGGTGAGGGCGGTGGCTTCTCACAGCTAGGTGGCCCTGGGCCGACCCAAGGCCGCCCTGCTGGATCCGGAGAGGGGAAGACGATGAGGTACAGAATCGAAGGGGAAGCGACGCCCAGCAGTCCTCTGCTTGCGCGAGGGCATCAACTAGGGGAACAAAAAGGGGCATAAGCATGAAAACTCGGAGGTCCGTGCGGATTTCTCGGATCGGCGCTGGGGCCCCCCGGGCGGCGCCTCTGGCGCCGCCCCTGGCGCGCTCCGCGCGCCAGGGAGGGGGGTCCAGCGCCGATCCGAGAAATCCGCGCGGACCGCCGAGATTTTTGATGTTTATGTCCCTTTTTGTTCCCCTACTGCTGGATCAGAGGAGGGGAAGAAGATGAGATACAGAAACGAAGGGGAAGCGACGCCCAGCAGTCCTCTGCTTGCGCGAGGGCATCAATTGCCACGGCCGACAGAACTGTAGTTCCTGCGTTTCCGCGGCGTTGCCACAGGGCAGTTGTTCACCCATTGAGTGGCGACGTGGAAGGAGAAGCGTCTATAGAGAGAAGTAGCTGATTGCGGAGAGGGTTTGCGCTGCGAGATGTTGATGTCCCGGTCTGCGATAACACCGAAGAAAAAACCGCGACGGGTCGTGATACATGGCGGACCAAAGACGGGAAGGCCCCATCCTGAGTATATGTTGGGTCGGATTGGTTCCTATGCTTGCAGACGGTGGATACGTATTGTATGATTGTAATGCATCACGTCTGCGCGCAGAACTTGGCAAGCAAGAGTGCATAGTGAGGGTAGTCTCATCCTGAAGTGTTGTTTGCCCCTGGGTGACTCATCCATTTTTTGCGCAGCCTGGTCTCCCAACAAAATCCTTGCAGATTGAAGATCGTCAAATTGAGTAGAGGCGACCTTCGCTCTGGGCAAGGCTTCGCGGCGTAAGATAATGTGCGGCGGACTCGAACATTCGCGGGCTGAAACGAAGGAGATCACAGACGCCGTTGTTGTTGAGTCTGCGTTGCCTGGCTTTCGGGGGGACCCTTGCAGCTCTTGCGGGGCGATTTGAGGGGAAGCGAGTCGAGCCAGCCGCTGCTCGTGAAGTCGACATGCACGGCTGGCATGCCAGCGCATGATCAGACGAGCGGGAGCAGGTCACTTGTCCTCTGATAGGGGGGCCAGCCCTCAGAAACTCGCAGCGCAGGGACGGGCATGATCCCAGGCCTGGCAGACAGCGCGACTGCACGGCTGGGCAGCAAGTGCTGGCAGCAATGCGCTCAGGGCGCGCAGTCGTACCATTCCATGGATGGCGGCGGGGCCCATCGGGTGAGCCAGCGCAGAAGGGCTCACCAGGTGTCAGATGCAGGGCAGATGCTGGGCAGAGGTCGGCGAGGGGCGGCGAGCGCCGAGAGATCTCAGCGCACGACGCAGGCTGGAACGTGCCAGGCCGCGAGAGATCTGGCCTGGGAGTCCTGGCGCGGGCGGGGTACGCAGGCGATGTGGTAGCCCTCGTTGCCGCTCGTCGCAGGCTCTTCCACCATGTTGGCATCTGCAGTCCTGTCGTTCCCAGGCGCGCATGCTTCCGAGGTTGGTGCAAGAGGGGGTTGACCCAAGCTGCCGGTGCCACGGTCAGCGCTATCGTGCGGCGGCCGTGGGCCGTGCGCGATGGGTGCATCCAGTCGTCCGTCGGGCGGATCAGGCACCAGGAATCACAAGCCAGGCGAAGGCTGGCAATTCCGTGGCTGTTAAAACGGAGCTCCGGGTAATTGTTCCCAACCATCCTGTGGTGTTGGGTCCTCGTTTTGAAGAGACGGTGCCCCGCGTCTCCTTCCTCCTTCCTCCTCCTCCGCCTCCTCTCCTCCTCTCCTCTTCACCCACCCAGTACACCGTTTCGTGGCCCCATAGGGAGCTCCACCGAAGGCCCCAGTGCTGCCGTCCGCATGCGTCCCGCACACCCATTTCGGCACACCCCTCACACGTTTCGTGGCCCCACAGGGAGCTCCACCGAAGGCCCCAGTGCTGCCGTCCGCATGCGTCCCGCACACCCATTTCGGCACACCCCTCACACGTTTCGTGGCCCCACAGGGAGCTCCACCGAAGGCCCCAGTGCTGCCGTCCGCATGCGTCCCGCACACCCATTTCGGCACACCCCTCACACGTTTCGTGGCCCCACAGGGAGCTCCACCGAAGGCCCCATGGCTGCCGCCCGCATGCGTCCCGCACACCCATTTCGGCACACCCCTCACACGTTTCGTGGCCCCACAGGGAGCTCCACCGAAGGCCCCAGTGCTGCCGTCCGCATGCGTCCCGCACACCCATTTCGGCACACCCCTCACACGTTTCGTGGCCCCACAGGGAGCTCCACCGAAGGCCCCATGGCTGCCGTCCGCATGCGTCCCGCACACCCATTTCGGCACACCCCTCACACGTTTCGTGGCCCCACAGGGAGCTCCACCGAAGGCCCCAGTGCTGCCGTCCGCATGCGTCCCGCACACCCATTTCGGCACACCCCTCACACGTTTCGTGGCCCCATAGGGAGCTCCACCGAAGGCCCCATGGCTGCCGTCCGCATGCGTCCCGCACACCCATTTCGGCACACCCCTCACACGTTTCGTGGCCCCACAGGGAGCTCCACCGAAGGCCCCAGTGCTGCCGTCCGCATGCGTCCCGCACACCCATTTCGGCACACCCCTCACACGTTTCGTGGCCCCATAGGGAGCTCCACCGAAGGCCCCATGGCTGCCGTCCGCATGCGTCCCGCACACCCATTTCGGCACACCCCTCACACGTTTCGTGGCCCCACAGGGAGCTCCACCGAAGGCCCCAGTGCTGCCGTCCGCATGCGTCCCGCACACCCATTTCGGCACACCCCTCACACGTTTCGTGGCCCCATAGGGAGCTCCACCGAAGGCCCCATGGCTGCCGTCCGCATGCGTCCCGCACACCCATTTCGGCACACCCCTCACACGTTTCGTGGCCCCACAGGGAGCTCCACCGAAGGCCCCAGTGCTGCCGTCCGCATGCGTCCCGCACACCCATTTCGGCACACCCCTCACACGTTTCGTGGCCCCATAGGGAGCTCCACCGAAGGCCCCATGGCTGCCGTCCGCATGCGTCCCGCACACCCATTTCGGCACACCCCTCACACGTTTCGTGGCCCCACAGGGAGCTCCACCGAAGGCCCCAGTGCTGCCGTCCGCATGCGTCCCGCACACCCATTTCGGCACACCCCTCACACGTTTCGTGGCCCCATAGGGAGCTCCACCGAAGGCCCCATGGCTGCCGTCCGCATGCGTCCCGCACACCCATTTCGGCACACCCCTCACACGTTTCGTGGCCCCACAGGGAGCTCCACCGAAGGCCCCAGTGCTGCCGTCCGCATGCGTCCCGCACACCCATTTCGGCACACCCCTCACACGTTTCGTGGCCCCATAGGGAGCTCCACCGAAGGCCCCATGGCTGCCGTCCGCATGCGTCCCGCACACCCATTTCGGCACACCCCTCACACGTTTCGTGGCCCCACAGGGAGCTCCACCGAAGGCCCCAGTGCTGCCGTCCGCATGCGTCCCGCACACCAGGTGTGTGGCGTGCCGACATGGGCGTCGCGGCGCGCGGGCGCTGCCGTCGGGGTTCCCAGGGAAGCCCCCTGCAGAGGCGACGCTCAGAGTCACGAGTACCGAGAGTCACGCAGACCCAAACTGTTCACAGTCGTATACATACATTTAC